GAGGCAGGGTCGGACGGTGGGGGGAGGCTGGGGCGGATTCTGGGAGCATAGCTCGCGGTTTCCGGCCTGGCCTGGTGGCTGCTCGAGCCGCTTAGAAGTATTCTGAGGTCGGGGTCGAGTAGCGAGGTCCGTGCACTCCTGGAGTGCGTCCCGATAATTTATTATCGGTCCCAGAGTGTGCGGACGAGGAGTGGGTTTGCTGGTTGCCACGGCGAGCAAGGCGGTTGGTTGGGTCGCTACAACCCTCCGCCCCATCCGTCCGTGGGGCCCCCCGCGTGGCGGCGCCCATCACGGTGCCCACAGGTCGGAGATGTGAGACCCCTGAAAACCCCTGGGTAAAACCAGGGGTGTGTAGGGGGCTGGAGGCCCGTGCACCGGATGTTTTTTTTCCCGGTGCCAGAGCCATATGCCGACTCCCCGGGGGAACTCGGGGGTAACTGGGCATGCCCGGTCGGCGAAGCCGTGATGGGTTGTGGGTTTAAAAACAAGAATGAGTTGCCACAAATTTTTTGACGTTGACGGAGGCTGCGAGGAATCGCAACACACCTGTGTCGTGACGCAGGTAGAAGACGCCAGACACCGGCGTATGGATGGGTCGGAGGACACCCCCCCTCTTCCTTTAAGGTTGAGAGGCGGGACCGAAGACAACAGGGAGGGACGAGACGAGGGAGGGAACTCCTCCTCGGACACGGAGGGCACTATAAGGGGGCCCAAGAGCGAACAAGGCTCCGATGGTGACGAGAGGATGTCCGACAAGACGGAGAAGATGTCCGACAAGACGGACGGCTCGGCCATCGTGATTTGCTCGCAATCGGACTCCGATCAGGGGGAGAAAGCTTCCTCCTCTGTAAGGAGGACAGTGAAGAAAAGGCCGGCGATCGTCCAGACCTCCTCCGAGGACGAGGACACGGACTCACCGAGTTCACACCCCCCGAGAAGGAAGAAACCAGGTCGCCCAGCCAAGTCGAAAGACCAAGTTGGGCAACACACCGCCCAAAAACTGCGGGAGAGGAAACAGCTCTATAAGAAAGAGCGAAACTTGGACCTGGTCCTCTCAATAGCGGATGGAACCGAGGTTGTTGACCGCACGACAAGAAGGTTCCGCATCCATGAGAAGAAGATGAAGGAATGCGCGAAGGAGTTTGTGACTGCACCTGTTCAGGATGTCCTGAACACCCTTGAGGAACAGGTGCACGCCATAATAAATGCGGCAAGCAAGGGAAGTGGATTGCAGGGCAGTTTACAGGAGATTCTGTATACTGCTGCCTCCACTTTAGGAGCGGGAGCCAAGGCGCTGGCGTCCCGCACAGAAAAGGGGCATTACGACCCCCAGGCTGGTAGAGCCCCCTCCCCTATCAACGCGGAGGTGGAGGAGCTAAGGGAGGCTAATCGCCGCCTCATGGAAGAACTCCAAAAACGCCCGAGGGAAATCGAGGAGGGAAT